TGCGAAGATTGACCGCAAGTACACCACGTGGTACGACGACACCGACGCACCGTTACTCCACGTTCGCATTCAGATCGGGAAGGCGACCTGCAGTGCCTTGATTGATTGTGGAGCTACTCGCAACTACGTCAGCCAGGATTTCATGACCCGCGCCGGCCTTGGGCCGCGCGTTTGAAGGAAATCACAGCCCACGCAAGTCACGTTGGCCGACGATCATACGCACAAGCCCATTGACTGGTGCATTGACTCCGTCCCCGTGATTGATTGTGGAGCTACTCGCAACTACATCAGCCAGGATTTCATGACCCACGTCGGCCTTGGGCCGAGCGTTTGAAGGAAATCGCAGCCCACGCAAGTCACGTTGGCCGACGGTCATACACACAAGTCCATTGACCCGTGCATTGACTCCGTCCCCGTGTACTTCGCCCCACTTACACGCGAGGCCGTGTCCTTCGATATATTGGACATATTGGACACAAAGTTCGACATGATTTTGGGCATGTCATGCCTGCACAGCAAGGACCACCCGGCGAACCTCTACCGCCGCACCATTCACTTTCGTGACCGAAACGGGGTACTTGTGCCATGTACAGTCCCCCCACCTCATCCTTCGATTAGTCACGTGGTCTCCGCGGCAAGCATTCGCAACTCCATCGCACGGAACGACGTGGAGGAAATGGGCATTTGTTTCTTGCACGCCCTCCCTCCTTCCGAGGAGCCAGCGGCGGAACAGCCACCGGATCCATGCATTGTACAGCTTCTTCACTCCTATGACGACATCTTTGAAGCCCCCGCCAGAATCGTACCGAATCAGCCAATTCGTCATGAGATCATCCTCGAAGACGTGGCCGTACCTCCGCGCGAATGTATTTACCGCATGAGCCAGGAGGAAGTTGAAGTGCTTCGAACGCAACTCGATGACCTCATTGACAAGGGCTTGATTCGCCCTAGCTGCTCGCCCTACGGTGCGCCTGTTCTCTGCGTTCGAAAGAAGAACAAAGAGTTGCGCATATGCATTGACTATCGCAAGATTAATGATCAAACCATTAAGAATGTCGGCCCGCTTCCATGCATCGACGATCTGCTCGAACGTTTGGGTGGCGCCAAGTATTTCTCCAAGTTGGACCTCAAGGTCGGGTACCACCAGCTCGAGATCCATCCAAGAGATAGGTACAAAACCGCGTTCAAGACACGGTACGGGCACTTCAAGTGGGTCCTAATGCCATTCGGCCTCACGAATGCCCCGGCCACCTTCCAAGCGGCAATGACAGCAGAGTTCGGCGACATGTTGCACCGGTTCGTGCTCATCTACCTCGATGACATCCTGGTGTATAGCCGAACTTTGGACGAGCACATCGTGCATCTACATGTTGTTTTGGACAGGCTACGTACGGCCAAGTACAAGGCCAACCGAGCCAAGTGCGAATTCGCACAGCAAGAGCTCGAGTACCTGGGCCGCTTTGTGACGCCGCAAGGCATCCGTCCGCTTGCGGACAAGAACAAGGCCATCCAAGATTGGACGGAACCGACCAACACCACGAAGGTTCGCTCTTTTATGGGATTGGCCGGGTACTACCAACGCTTCATCTTAGGATACGCACGGATCGCCGCACCTTTGTCCAGATTGCAATCTCCACGCCTTCGAGAGTGACTACGGACGCTTCCAGCTACGGCATGGGTGCAGTTCTTGAACAACACGACGGAGTAGATTGGCATCCGGTTGAGTACTTCAACCAAAAGGTGCCTCCCATCAACTCGGTTGATGATGCGCAGAAGGAGTTGCTTGCGTTCGTCACGGTACTCCAGCGTTGGCGACCCTTCCTCCTCAGGCGTCGTAGGTTCACTTGGGTGATGGATAATAATTCATTGACCTATTACAAGACACAAGACACGGTGAGCAGCGCGATTGCTCGGTGGATGTACTTCATCGATCAGTTTGACTTCACACCGAAATATATCCCGAGCCTCTCCAATCTAGTTGTGGATGCTCTCTCGCGAAGATCAGATCTTTGCGCAGTGACTCACCACGCGTTCATTTTCAACAAAGCCCTTCATCAGCATTTTGTGCGAGCATACAAGTCCGATCCGGAATACGCCACGCTCTACGAGCAACTATCCTCGAATCACCCGCCGGCCAGCCACTATCGCGTCATCGATGGCTACTTGCTTCTTCACTCACGCGGCAACGACTTACTATGCGTCTCACATGACCTCGCCTACAGACTCACCTCCTCGGAGAGTACCACGACTCGAGACTCGCTAGCCACCTCGGCATCAACGGTACGAGCGCAAGACTTCGGCAACTATTCCGGTGGCCCGACCTCATTACCGACGTCACTCGGTATTGCGACTCTTGCCCATTGCCTATTCCACGGGAACCCGACCTCTCCATTGCCATGGACACCACTGGCCCATTCCCCTAGGACTGCTTCGGGCACGACGGCATTCTCACTGTCGTTGACCGTTTGAGCAAGTAGGCACAATTTCTTCCTTGCAACCTCTTACACACCGGCTGGATTTGCGGCCACGGCGTTGCGAAAGACATCATCAACGACCGCGACACTCGTTTCATGTCGGCATTTTGGACCTCTCTCATGAAAGAGTCCGGCACCGAGATGAAACCAAGTTCGGCTCGGCATCCGCAAACGGATGGGCAGACAGATCACATCAAACCGCTTAAGTAATGCTTCGCACACTCATTCGTACAAATCAGAAGGATTGGGTGGACCGCCTCCTCGACATCGAATTCGCCTACAACATTTCGGTGCATCCGGCGATTTGCGTGACTCCGTTCGAGTTACACCACGGTGGCCGGAAAGGCCGCATCTTCACTGACCTTCCTTTTCCAAGGACTGTCGACATTGACGCCGCTTGTTCGCCCCCCTCCGTTTGGAAGTATAGGGACTTGCTGGCTAAAGCCCTCGCCAACATGCAAAAGGCTCAAGTCCGCATGCAACAGCAAGCTAACAGGCCGTGCGTGCCATGCCCCATCCGCGCCAGCGACCTGGTTTGGGTCTCCACGGAAGAGTTTGCACTCGAGCAGGATGGTATCCCGCAAGCTACTTCCAAAGTTGTTTGGACCATGGCCCGTCACATCACCCGCTGGTGATGAGCCCGATGGTCCCTCGTTTGTGATCGAAATCCCGACGCATCTCACGGTGCACCCGGTTATCCACGCCTCCAAGCTGGCCACCGATACACCAGCCAAGAGCGACGACTTCCCGGGACAACGATCACAGGACCCGCCTTCCATGGATGGTCATCAGGAAGTCGACCTCGTCATCACGCATCGCAAGCACAGCAACAAGCCTATGCAGTACAAAGTCACATTCATGTGGTGCGACCCCGATGACACGTGATGGATTTCCCGGGCAGCTTTGCGAGCCTCCGCTCCTGACATCTATGCTCATTATGAGAAGAAACAGCTAGCGATGGAAGCTGCACAGCCTCCGAACCGGACTTTAGTCTTCGCCCTCGCAGGTAAGCTCGGTCTTCCAAGGAGGGGAGGGTGTGGCACACTCCTTACCACACGGGCCCAGCAGAGCCCGACCCGGTAGACCACGGGTCCGTAGGAGTAGGGCCTGTTTCATTTCAGCCTAAAAGCCTGAAACGGGGGCCTACAGGCCCTGTGTTGTTTCGACCTCCAGCCTGAAAACGACGGGCCATTTTCAGGCCCTCGCAAGATCGACCTTCCATGAAACTCAGGCACCAGACAGGGGTTTTAGCTCAGGCCATTATGGCCTATTTTTGGACCGTCAACCCCAGGGTCTGGCACGTTTTGGCATAGGCACGAGCAGCCTCCCGAACAGGCCAGCACTATATAAGGCTGACCCGCCCTGTAGGCTGGAGGCAGTTCCCAGGCACTTCACGTGCAGAGGGCAGGAGGTAGTCTTCAGGACTCGACAGCAGCACTCTGGAGGAGTAGTAGCGATAGCAGTAGTCTTAAGCACAGGGCGTTAGTAGAGAGAGAGAGAGAGATGGTTGGCGGAGGCCAGGGAGACTCACCTGCGGCGCCATAGCTCCAGCTTCGTCTTCGATGTACCTGCAGCAAGGCGCCAGCTTTACAGGTTAGTATCGGACAGAGAGAGAGAGAGAGAGACAGAGTTCTCCTTCTTCCTCCTCTAAGTCCACCATCTCTTCCTCACCCTCTCGCCCCCTGACTTCTTACTATCTACCGGCTAAGAGAGAGAGAGAGAGAGAGATGGGCAACATTGGGATTTGACGACATTTGGGTTCAAACTCAGCATCGGGATTCAGACCTTTGGCAAGGGATTATTTGGGACTGTATCGAAGACTTGGTGTTGACGACACTTCCATCTTCCCCCTCCCCTTCGTCTAATCCCCCCCTTCTTCGTCTGTGCATGATCGGGGACTGACGCATTCTTCCCGTGTGAGCATCAGCCCCCTTCAGACCATGGGATGATGATGATGCATGTTTGGTCTGCATGGCAGCTTGTTTGATCGGATCATCGGTATCTAAGCCTTCCGTTGTGCTCTCTTGTATCATGTGAGAAAGGTCGGTTCTTGGTCTGGTCTGTACCGTTAGGGTATGCAACACTAGGTTTGGCAGCACGAGAGAAACATTTAAAAATAATGCTTTTTCCTGTTGTACAACACAGGCTAAGGTCCACACAGAGCTGGTGGTTCGATTGCCTCACGACTAATCCTTCCTCTATCCTTCCTTTTCATCTCACTGTCATGTCTTTCCTTTCTTTAGCTGCTGAGACAAGGGGATAAATGCATCATGATACGAACATCATGACCCAAAAACAAAAACTCTATAATTAAAAACAACACTCTTGAACACAGCACCAAACTCGGCTGTGATGTTGACATTCACAATTTGCCACCATGACCTTCCATTCAATGCAAAGATAAAAATTGGCATGGCGAGTCACCCAAACAAAGGCCAGGGTTTTGTAAATGGACAGCAATTCTTCGGTCGTATTATTATTAATAAACTAAGAAGAGAAAGCAAAGGTAGTAGTAATTATACTTACCCGATTGAGGTCCTGCAATCCACCTCCTGTGTCAGGAATATTAATTGCTCCCATAAGCACGCTATGTGATACATGTCCACGTGGCTGAGTATCACTTGCAGGAGCGGAATCACCTGCATAGACACAAAACCAGGCACCATAAGTTACACATTCAATAGACATCAAACAAGCAAGGAGTGGTGCACAACAACATCACTCGTTTCCACACCGAGCACCTCCAAACATGAAAGGGTGCACCACACCATACAGTGACTGCAAATCACCACCGCCACCAAGCCCATTCTGCCAAGCCTAGGCTTTGAAATCCAGATGCACTCGTATGTTATGATCCTGGCCAATTTCGAGATACACATCCATCATATAGTACAATGCCGCCCAATTGCAGAAAGAAATGAATGAACTTGAGAAGAGAGAGAGGATTAGAAGAAGAAGAAGTAAGAAAGAAGAAGAAGATGATGTACACCAGCATAGACAAATGACAAGGCTCTTCTTCTTCGCCCAACAATCTCCTCCTTATCTCCCCCTTCTTTTATTCATACAAGAAATAATAATACAATGTTGAATAGCTGATCCAGAAGCTATTTTGTCTTGAGAAATTTGCCAAATAAAACTCACAAGCGGTTAACAGGGACCCCCACGTTTCGGCCCTAGGTAACGATGTATGATCCTGAATGATCCTGAATTTAGGGTTTTTTTGTGTTTTTTTAGAATTTATCTTTTTGCCTATTTTTTTATTTGGACAAGCTTTCTATGTGTCAAATTTGATGTTATTTGGAGTATTAGAATTTGTGTTGTGAAGAGTGGTGAAAATTGTGAAAATTTGATGACGGTTTCTTTGCCAAAATGTCATGAAAATGCACTTTTGGCTTGCTGTTTCATATGTTATTAATTTTTGGTTTTTTTTTTTGTTTTTATAATATGTTAGTAAGAAGTGCAAATGGCCTTATGGTTTTCTTACAAATTGAGGCGAAAAATGGGGGGTCGGTTAACCTTTTCTCCAGAATCAATGTCCGAGTTCCTCTTCTACTGCCGACATCACTTGAGGTCCACCATAGCCATGGCCGCCTCCTCCTCCCTTCCTCATCATAGGCCGAGGCTATGCCGGACTACTAGGCCTTGCCCAGATGCCCAAAGGACAACCCAAAGCAGCTACGGCTGCTTCACTCAGGCTGCCATGCCCAACTCTGCCTTGAAGCTTCTTGGTGTGGCTCTCCCCAGTTGGGAACTCCCTGCTGCAGCGCCCACCAAGGTGATGAAGATGGCTTCCACCATAGCCAGGTAAGTACCCCTGGCGCTCCTCCCCCTTCCTGTCCTCCTTCCTCCTCCGTGTCCTTCTCCTTCCCCCAGCAGCGCAGCTCCTGGATAGCGCTGCTCCAATCGGCGCTCCAACCAGTGTGTCGCCCAACTTGCACCCCGAGAAAGAGGCCTGGCTCTTCGCCCGGCTGGGATATAGCGACCTGCTTGCCTCTTCGGGCGGTGACTTCCAGGCCGCTCGGCCTTCCAAGCAACCGGTACCTCCTCCCTTTCGGAGGAAAACATCCTTGCAGACTCTGATATTCCCCGTACAGGCCCTAGACCCAGACTGGTTGGACTGGTATCCGCGTAGACCTAACCTACAACTACTCTGCCTCTAAAAATGCCACTTTTGTCTTCTTCTGCTCGGCCTCCAGTACGCGCACATCTACCTCTTCAGGGTGCGGTACTGGCCTACACGCTACTTGAGTGTTTTTCCTGCTGCAATTCCTCAAATGTCACGGCCACAGGTAAGTACCGGCCCTGAGGGCCCAATGAACGAGCAAATGCCCTTGCGGGCCACACACTCAATCAAGCCAACCAGCACTCAGACAGGCACGGTCACACACACACTCCAGCCAACCAGCACTCAGACAGGCACGGTCACACACACACTCAAGCCAACCAGCACTCAGACATACATGCAGTCCAGCAAGCGTGCACACACAGACTTAGTAGCAGGCGGGAAACTCAGCAAGACATCCAGTCTATAGTAGCAGGCGGGAAACTCAGCAGGGCATTCAGTCTATGGGCAAAACTCAGAAATCAGACTTTGGACGGGTCATCACACTAACCCCCCCTCAAGAGCAAGGTCCCTTCGAGCGAGTAACTCATTCTGAGTCCTCGACAAACGCATTGTCAGCAAGCAAGGCAAAGAGGTTCCTAAAATACTCTGTCGCAGTACGCCTTGCGGAGATCTTAGGAGTAGCGTTAGCTGTGATTTGTCACTCGTAGGCTTTAACAACGCGTGGTGCGCTGCGTAGCAGTTCGTGCTTGGAAATCCAGTACAGATCGTCCAACAGGTGATATATGAAGTGAACCTGGTACTGTCTGTTGCGTCCCTTCCCTACATGCTGTTTAATTTTGTCCATATCATGCCCACCTTTGATTGCACGAGGGATCATGTCTTCGCGATAATCGAATGTCTTAGTGTCACGGTGGAGGTACAGTTTTTATGCGTGGAACACACGGTATGTGCGCAGATGGGCTGGCACATCAACTACGTACGAAGGGCCAAAGTGATCCTCGCCAATCACATCCAAAACTTCCCACGGACCATAGTAGAGTGGGAGAAGTTTGCGAGGGACTCCCTCTTCTTCTGAAAATTCAGACATCTTGACCCAGACATAGCTTCCTACCTGAATATCCGACGGGTCGGCGCATCTTGTTTGCATGACAGATCATGGCGTGCTGTCACTTGGTCATTGCTGCAATGGCAACTTTGAGCAAGCAATCATACTTGGACCTGAAGCCAAGCCGATCGGGTGTTCAGCCAGCTGGCTGTTCAGGGAATAGGTAGGAGAGCGGATTACGGATCTACCAACCGTAATGCAACCTGTTGGGTGTCATGCCGGTGGCAGAATGGACGGAGTTGTTGTACAGCCCCTTAACGGAATACAGCTCTTCATCCCATGTTTCCTGATCCGGAATAATCAAGGCGCGGAGAAGTTGAAACACAGTCTGGTTTATCTCCTCAGCCAAACCATTGTCTTCGGGGGGTCGGCCAGATGTCATACACAATCTGATCCCTAGTTGAGACGTGAAGTCCTTCCATTCTGTACAAATGAAGCGTGGATCCCGATCGCTCACAAGAGTCTTCGAGGTTATGAACTGCAGAATGTAATTCTGTTGGAACTCACAGATAGTTCTATTGGAACGTGAGGTGGCAAAGGAATCAGATTAAGGAACTTAGAGAATGGGTCAACAATCACCACGACTTGTGAGTAGTCGTTCTTACTTACCTTTCCCAAGTCGGTGAGGTCGATGGAGACGGACTCCCCGGGACCTTCGGGAATGGGGAGGGGTGTGAGTAGCCCCATGGGCTTTTGTCTGCATGGTTTGATTCGTTGACAAACTTCACATTCAGCCACAAACTTCTCACCAGTCCCTTTCATGCCATTCCAATCAAACTGTCTCAGCAGATTTGCGTATGTCTTTGCCATGCCGAAGTGTCCGCTTCGGCCATGAGCCAAATCCAAAAAGTGCTTGCAGATAGGCTCATGGTTGGGCTCACACAAGCGGTCATGGTTCCCGCAGTGACAAAAAATTTGTCCTCCATATTCGTAAAAATCAAGCTGACTACTAGGATCAGCCTGCAGCCGCTCAAGGATGGGACTAAGTTTGTATGCTCTACAAGCTCCTCCTTCAGTTTCTTCCGGAGGTCGTAGGATTTCACAAGCCAAGTCATGTACTCAGGGTGGCGAGACGAAGCATCGGCTACTCGGTTATAACAGACCTTTTTGTGTCGTAACTGGAAATCGTAAATGTCAATTTCATGAAACCAGCGAAGTAAGGTAAAAGACAGCGTAGTTTGCTCTTTGAGCCACTTTAAAGTTTCATGATATGAGAACACTTTGAAGTGGCGTCCCAAAAGATAGTGCTTCCAATGGTCCAAAGCCATACGCAAAGCATAAAGCTCGCACATGTAAGTGGAAGTGGCTACCTTTTCGTTGGGCATGCGTTTGCTGTAGTATTAGAGCGGCCGCAAGCCATCATCGTCATCTTGCTGCAGCATTGCCCCGATTCCATACTGACTTATAAGTTTGGGATCTGCAATGCGGAGTACTGGATAACTTACCAAAGCTTCTTTCAAAGCTTGAAAGGCGTTCGTGCACGCGGTGTCCCAAGAATAGGGAACATTTTTGCTTGTCAACCGGGGCAATGGACGAGCAACAATAGAGAAGCGGGGCACAAACTTCCGATGGTGTGATGCAAGACCAAAAAAAGAGCGTAGTTCGCGAACATTCACGGGCTGAGGCCAGTCGCATATGATCTCAACCTTGGTTGCCTCGGGCTCTAGGCCTGCAGCAGACAACCGATGCCCAAGGTAGATAACGCTATCCTTCTCAAACTCACATTTCTCTAGGTTGAGATGGAGTTGCGTCTTCTTGAGGATGGTGAGTACTTCCTCAAGGTGCTTGAGGTGTTCCTCCATGGATTTGGTGAAGATTAGTATACCATCGAGGTAGACCACCACCAACCGGCCAATCTGTTCATGGAGAACCTTGTCCATGAGGCTTTCGAAGGTGGTCGGTGCGTTCGTGAGACCGAAGGGCATTACGATAAACTCGTAAAGCCCATCGCGTGTTTTGAACACAATTTTGTGCTGATCCGCAGGATCGACTTCAATCTCGTGGTAGCCAAACTTGAGATCGATCTTGGAGAAGACCTTGCACACACCTGCTGTATCAACCAAGTCATCTATGCGGGGCAATGGAAAGGTGTTCTTTATTGTGATGCGGTTTAGACCGCGATAGTCAATACACATGCGTAGTTTGCCTCCTTTCTTCAGAACAAACAAAATAGGAGCACCAAATTCAGACTCACTAGGCTTGATCCACCCTTTGTCAATCATTTCATCGATCTGTCGCTGAAGTTCCAACTCCCCGGGTCCCATTCGGTATACGCAGCCCTTTGGAGGAACAGCACCCTCCATCAACTCGATGGTGTGTCGGACCGATCGCGTGGGGACTCCACGTGGCTCGGCCAAAACTTCTGGGAACCGATCGAGTAGGTTTTGGATGTTTGGTGGAACCAATGGTGGTGGAGGATCAGCAAAGGGATCACCTAGATCAACTCGCAGGTCGTGAATAGAGGCAACCGGATCTGAAGTAGGATCATTTGGACTAGTAGAAGGTAGAGAAGTGGAGGTGCTAGAAATAGAAGTACTAGCAGTAGAATCACTAACTGAAGTAGTAGTGGTATTAACTGCAAAGTAGATGGCACATGGGTAGGACGAACAAAGGCAACATACAACTGCTCGTCCTCTTTGTGCTTGCGCCATTTCTTGCAGAACTTCATCCAGGGGACTCGTGCTTCTCATCCAAGAGGACGGGGAGCTCGTTCCCTTGAGCATCTTTGACCATGAAAAGTGACTTCTTCCACTTGGTCCATTCGCATTGGGACTGCTGCCAGCCCAAGCCAAGGACAGCGTCGATGGGGCATTTGTCATAGACATAGAAGTTCAATGCATGGGTGACAGTTTTGTCCTTCTCAAAGGTAGTGCGCACACCTTTGACTGCATGCGTAGAAGAGACGACTTCTTTGTTGCCAACTTGGGTTCAGCAAGGGTTCCGCAAGGCCACTTGCTTCATTCCCAAGCCCACGGAGATATAAAGTTAGCAGTAGCACCACAGTCAATCAAGCCACGGAGATAGCGGTGGTTTATGAGAAGTTTGAAGAAGATCAACTTCACTGTCCCTTGGGCACGCTGTTGTTTCATCTCAGCCCAATGCTCCAAGTAGTAGTGGAAGTCGACCGTCCCCGACTCCTCCCAAGGCTCGACATAGAAAACATTACACACTTCATCCTTGGCTTCAGCAGATCATTGGGCTTCAAGGGAGGACTGCTGATTTGCATCAGATTCAGTCTCCCTTGCTGTAGAAGATGTTGAAGTCGACTCTACGCCCGGTTCTGGTTTCCCTGCAGCCTATAGCAATCCTCTACCTTATGGTTCGGTTTCTGGCAATACAGGCATACCCCTTCTTGAGTCTACCCCGCCAATCATTTTCAATGATCCGGAGATCAACCCATGGTTTAGTGGCCGCATCCTCCGCTTTTGCTGGGATCTTTACTCCCTTAGGAAGTTGGACATAGTTCTTCCCTGCATTTCGATTTGGTCCCTTTGTATTGGGAGTTTTTTTGAAGGCAATGAATTTTTCTTCTTCTTGGTTTGAGTCAGACTCATGGGCTGACGAACAGGCTGTATCAGTGTCCTGTTCTTGGTCGTCACCAAGAGTGGGGTCATCTCCATCGGCTTCTTCTTCAGCCTCCAGCAGGTCATGCACAGCAAACCGGCTGCTACCTTTGAACCGCCTGCCGCCCATAGGCTTTTTGCTGCCTGTTGTGGCAACGAGGTCTATAGCCTCAAGACTGGCTATGTCCTTCATAAGAGTGAACCAGTCAGTGTACCCAATGAAGTCCCTGCCAAGGCGATTAGTGAAACTGGTGGGAACCGCACCTTTGACCACATCCAAGCAAGATTGGTTAGTCAGTTCTAACCCGGGTGTAGCAAACATCTTGCTGAGGTAGGTCTGCAGGCTTTTCATGGAGGCCGGCCACTTGCTGCATTTAATTTTATCAAGCTGGCTTCTTGCCCTTGCTGCAGCGTGTGGATCCATATATTGGGAAACGAGTAGTTCCTCGAGGGAGTCAACCGGGGTGGCCTTAAGCCACCTTGTCAGTTCTATCTTAGGAACCCCAGCTCGCGTAGCTTGGACCTCTAGGAAGCCTCGACATTCATTCCCATGATCACGGACTGGGTCTCAGGTTGAGTCCCCAGAACCTCAAAGTATGCCCTCATGGAGCTGATCCAGGATTCAACGTCTTCTTCGCCGTCATACTTTCGATCCACATAAGGACCGGCGTGGCTGGGACCAGCACCTATTGGTTCAAATCTTGGGGCTGCAGCAGTTGCAGAATTTCCTGCCTCGTTGCTTGTTGCGGCAAAAGCGGAATCTGCACCTGTTGCTGGTCCCAAAGGGTTTGCCATCACACTCAAGGAAGAAGTAGAAGAAGATACGGTAAGAGGGGCAGAGTTCGTTTCAATTGCAGCTCCGGAACCAGGGGGTAGAGGAAGAGGATTGGCCGCTTGGGCTTGAAGCAGCGCAGCAACCTCTATCGTCAAATCATGGCACTTGCCGGTCATCATCAGTCAGATCCTCCTGAAGTTTCTGCAACTTTGCGAAGACTTCGGCGATCTGAGTGGTATGATCTTCAAGGCTTCGGACTTGGACAATAGCGGTAAGCATGGACTGCAGTTGTTCCTCACACTGCTCTTTGTTCAGCGAGGGGACAGTTTCCAAGATGGCCTCCTGACTTTTCAGCAGCAATTCCTTCCTCTCCTTCTTTGTTTCTTGTTCCCTTTTGATGGCACTATCTACGAGTGCTTGCTGATATCGTTTCTCCGCATCATTGGCTGCATCTAACGGGGTCTTCCACTCGACTGATGCCAATCAGCAAAAGAATCAATCAGACTCACAAGAGGTACACTCCCCTTTTCACTTGGACGAACACTCCGTTTCCCAGTCCTTGCCCACAAACATGCCTTGATCAACAGATAGCCCACGCTCTACAGCAGGGTACAGAATTAGGCCATGTACGACTAAAAAACAACGAACAAATTATCAAACCACAAAAACGAATTGCTCGCTAGTGTGTGTGAGAGAAAGAGAGAGATTACTGACAGACCAGTTGCCGCATGCTATACAGATAAAGGTCGAACCGAGCAACACAAGCCTATACAAAGAGAACATCAGCATGATAAAGCAATAGAGAGAATCACAACAGAGGGGGAAGCCGCAAAGAAAGATGATCCATGTCCCATTTACCTGTTGTTGAAGGCTGTGTGTTCTGCTGCTGCTGTTGCTGCAAAGCCGTTGCAGGTGGAGGGCGCCGTGCAACCAAATGCAAAGTATGACCCTCATCAACATCTGAGGTGATAATTAAGGAGCGTATGTTATTCTACATCATCGAATGCATTATGCAGCGCTGTCCACGCATCACACACACAAAACTAGATCCTGATTGAACCCAAGAAGACAGCAACGAGGCAGTTCAACAACACAAACCTCCAACAAACAAACAAGCCCAACAGTAGGTCACTAAACCTTTTTGCATTTGTCTCGGTGCTGTGTAACCATGGATAAGTTGGTTATTCTGATCAGCCTGCCATTTGCACAGGATACCAACACCCAAACACCATAAGAGTGATAAAAAAGTTATCAAACATGACAACTTCAATACCAACATGCGCAATATTTACCAGAATCAGTTAGCAACATTCCTAGAAGGAGAGAAAATGAAAGATCGAGGGCAAGTGTCACATACATCAGACAAGACAACTTCATCGCTTATTCTTTCGCTGATGGGAAGTGTCTGCCAATCTCACAGAGAAGGAAGCATATGACGCTAATAGGCGAATTTGACAAACCTTCGCATAATACCTGATGAACTACTTCTGGAAACCTATCCTACCAGCAATCCTCGGCAGGATTGGGGATGTGCACCACAAGCCAAGTGATGATGAAAACCACTACGGACGACAATCCAAGTCAGGCTCATATACCTGCTACACTCCAAAACGGAAGATTCACGACTGAACATGGGCAATGGGACCACAACCGTTCTTGATTACACTTGCTCTGGAGTCCATAATATGCACTAAACCGGAAAAAATGGGACCACAACCGACCTCGATTACACTTGCTCTGGAGTCCATGATATGCACTCAACCAGAAAAATTGAGAGAAGTCTAATACGACAGATTGACTATGTAGCTAGGCCCATCAACAAACGGACACATAATGAAAATCATAGCAATCATTTCAGTGCTTAGTTATGCGCACATAATGAAGAAATCACAGCAATCATTACATTGCTGAATTGTGCGCAATCAATCATTACAGTGCTGAATTGTGCGCAATGTGTCGAAATACCAATCAACAGAACTTTAAAAAATATATCAAGTGTCCTTCGGGACATCCGTTAAAATTGGAACGATACAGAGAAGATTAGCATGGCTCCTGCTCAAGGATGACACGCATCAATTGAGAAATGGTATATATGTTAAGTAACTGCATGAATAATGTGAGGTCACTTTGCTGATGCTGGATGTCAGAAAATTTGAAATGCCTTGTTGTTTCTCTCCTCCAAACCGTACATGCAACTTTCATTGCATCTCCAAGTAAATCTTACAAGGCCATATTCCCCAATTAAGATTCAGAACTTCACGTTCTCTTCCATCCTTCGAGAGCCTATGTAGATAGGCCCATCAACAAACGGCCACACAATGAAGAAATCATACCAATCATAACAGTGCTGCGTTATGCGCAATGCATCGCAAAAAACAATCAACAGAACTTTTCAAATGCATTCCCCCGCGGCATGGTGGCTGAGTGTTGGGCTTTGCCAGTCAACATGGCGCAGGCTCAAGCCAGACCACCCACACACAACACTGGCATATAGGCAGAACGGGCGAGCGGGCAGGGATCTTGGCCATTGTGAGCAAGGCCAGCACGCTGTTGCGAGGTGCTGGGCTGCGCTAGGCTGAGAGAAGGCAGGTTGGCGCTAAGCGGTGGGGCGCAGCCTGGCCGCAGGGCGCTGGCAGCTATAGCCGGGCTGCACAAGAGCGCTGAAGGAGGTGAGGGCAAAGGTGGTTCTTCGGAAAGTGAAGGGTGCTGTGTGGGATAACAAGGGAGAGTGAGGGAGAAGAGAGAGACGTACCTGGTGGAGAGGAGGTCGGCATTGGTGTTGACGTCATCACTCGCTGGTAGTCAAGTTGTCTGGTTGCTTCCATGTTGTAGTTGTAGGGAGGGCGCCTGGCGCCATTCACAAGAGAGAGCTACACTGGGTTATGCTGTTGGTGTTGCCAGATTGGGCTTGGACATTGACTCACGATTCTGCTGTATCGTTCTCAAATGGATGGTTTCTTGGTTCCATTGTGCTATCTGCTCCTTCTTTGACTACTTGGACTTCAGCATGATTTTGCAATTTGGATTTCTTTGCTTCGTCCACATTCATGTTCCTTGCAATTTGGTATCAGAGCTGGTTCGATTCACCGCTTACCTTGGTGCGCTGGCGTTATACAGACTTGGTGYGTTGACGATGCTTCTTYGCAGTTGKTTCTTGTGAYGTCAGGCCGATATTAGGCGCACGACCTGGGTAGAGAGGTGTGCGCCGGAAGGCTGTACGGCTTGGGATGCCGTGGCGACGACGGAATGTATGATTGGTGATGACAGCGTGCTGATCTGGCATTTGGCTGAGGTGGCCCTGCATTGCGTTGTGGGTGGTACCAAGGCTACGACCAGTCATCAAATGCACACTCAGCTCAATTGGTGAGAAATTTGTGGTTGGGGGCAGCTATCTCCAGGTATGTTGTTCCCTTACCTTATCTACCCTCTCAATCTCTTCTTACCGCGAGGAAGTGAGTCCAACTTGAAAGTCCTCTCTCTTGGTGAGGTGTCGTGAGCGCTCTACCTTGAGAGACGACAATCTTCCCGGTGGCGCATCTGGAAGGAGAAAGGGCGGTGCCTCTGAGGGGCCCTGGTCGAAGCACGTGGGTCACGGTCACCATGCCAACCAAATGGGATTAGTACATGCATGCGATGGCTGCTTCGTCCATGACAGCACTTCTGCTGCGCTGATAGAGGGGTGTGCGGACTGAACAGCCTTATGCAGACGCTCCCAGACCGTATGATTGGTGATGAGAGCATGCTGATCTGGCATTTGGCTGAGGTGGCACTGCATTGCGTTGTGGGTGGTACCAAGGCTACGACGAGTCATCAAATGCACACTCAGCTCAATTGGTTAGAAATTTGCGGTTGGGGGAAGCTATCTCCAGGTATGTTGTTCCCTTACCTTATCTACCCTCTCAATCTCTTCTTACCACGAGGAAGTGAGTCCAACTTGAAAGTCCTCTCTCTTGGTGAGGTGTCGTCAACACTCTATCTTGAGAGACGACAATCTTCCCGGTGGCGCATCTGGAAGGAGAAAGGGCGGTGCCTCTGAGGGGCCCTGGTCGAAGCACGTAGGTCACGGTCACCATGCCAACCCAATGGGATTAGTACACGCATGGGATGGCTGCTTCGTCCATGACAGCACTTCTGCTGCGCTGATAGAGGGGTGTGCGGACTGAACAGCCTTATGCAGACGCTCCCAGACCGTCTATAAGCATTTCTGGATAGGGTTCCGATCTGTCAACTGGCTGTGATCGTCGTCCTGATTGCGACGTTAAATAATTCTTGAGCGACCTTGGGGGCAGTCCTTAAATAGGCCTCTTGATCAGCAAGATCAGTCGAACGTACGGCTCGTTGTACGCGAGGATAAAGAAAGGGCAAGCCTGGTCATAAGCATGCACCTGGGGCACAGGGGTGGGCCAACATTGCACACCTATGACACTACTGCTCAATAATGCTCATCAGTATGTTGGATTGAGGGGAGGGGAGGTTCCAATTGGTGCTAAACTGTAAAGACAACCATACCCATTGTTCATACATCTGCAACATAGTTTAGTTTTATTGTTGATTAGCTGGTTGACAACATAGTTTAGTTTTATTGTTGATTAGTTGGTTGACAGACTGCGAACACCTCACAGACAATTTAGTTTAGGACTATTGTTTCTATGCAAAACTTCTGTAAGTGAACTAATCATGATATAACTAAATTATGTTTACGATCTTTTGTGAATGTTGTAGGCTGCCACTTGGTCGGTTAAGTAGGGGACCTGCCGAACACATTTATTTTTAGAAAATTAGGTGTCGGTCAAACACATGCTGTGGTCACTTTCTCGAAAACTGAAAGCCGAACAGGGAGTTGTAGTGCAGATAGTGTTTGCCTAACTGATGAGTGGGTCAGACACCGAAGAGGGTAGAGTTGACGATGCGAGGCTGACACGTTCGAGATTACTGAAACAGTTTTCACCTTTGGCAGTAGCCGATGCAGATCCCAGGGGTCGATCCCTTGACCTCAGCTTACCTGTGTACAGTATCTGTACAGTTCCCTGGAGTTGAACCCGTGACCTGCACGATAGCCAGTGGTAAGTAGGTCACCGTAGGTTGTAGGCTGTAGGAAGATTCGAGCTGTAGACCTGTAGGGTAGGAGTCCAAGTAGAGTCCAGAAGCCCAGCTTTAGTCCTTCTAGAAGGTTGGCAAGTGGTCAAGTGGTGAGTCTAAGGTAGGCCCACGTTTTTCAGACGAAGACAAGTGGCAAGGTCAACAGGTAGGACCTCAGTGCAGTCGGTACGACTGCCTACAGTCAGGAGAAGGGTCTAGAGAGTCCCAGTGCAGTCCAGCAAGTACCACAGGGGGACTGTGAGCACCAAGGGCCGAAGGTAAAGGGCAGACCAACGAATTTCTGAAGTATAAATCAAGAGGCAGCGCCCAGCCATTCATTCATTCCTGCGTGACCCATGCGGAAGCGCTGTCACAGCAGCTTGTGCAAGGAGGTCTGCAGATGAGCCCGGAGGACGCAGTGGGCAAGAGAGGAGGAGTTAGCATAGCGATAGGTTAGAGGCAGCCATTGCTGCCATAGCTGTAGTTAGTAGTGAGTGTGTGTGTTCGAGTGTTAGAGTGATGCGTGTGGGATATCCAGGGTGATCCAGTGCATGTGAACAGTAAGATGTTTGGGCGCTGAAGTCGCCATAGCCATTTGAGAGTGAACTCGTATCTGAAGCCATATCTCTGAGTTTTGAGTGGGCGCATGTCGCCAGTGTGCTGCGTACTGTTTACATATGTGAAAAGTGTGTTTGAAAGCGAGTCTGATTGCATTACTAAGGATCCCGCACGTGTTTCAAGCCCTACGGCCGGGGGTTGAGAGACGGCTTCGTGCCGAAGATAGAGCCTGTGCTCTCGCAGCAGCAGGGATACAGCACTAGCTGCAAGTCTGGCGTTGGCAGCAGCAAACGCCGCAGCTAGGGAAAAGGCTGCAGCCGTAG